TGTGTGTGCGTGCGTATGCACGCACGTATGCAGTTGTTTATTGTACGTACTCTCTTCTCAACGCTAAAAAAATAAAATAAAAAGAAGAAACGATTCGAAAAAGGGGAAAGGAAAAGAAGAAAGGATAAAGAAAAAATAGGAAAAGGAGAAACAGTTTACATAAAGAAATGCAACAAACAAACAAACATTTTTTTTTTAAATACCGTCCATATTTCAAGCTCGAATGCTCTCCCTCTCTCTCTCTCTCTCTCTCTCTCTCTCTCTCTCTCTCTCTCTCTCTCTCCCTCTCTCTCTTTATGTCTCAGTCGATCTCTATATCTGTCTCGATATCTCTCTATTTATGTCTCTGCCCCTTTCTTGTTGTTTCTCTATTTCTCTTTCCTTAATCTCTCAATTTCTCCGTCTCCTTCTCTCCGTCTCCCACTATCTATCTATCTATCTATCTATCTATCTATCTATCTATCTATCTATCTATCTAATCCTCTATCCCACTGTCTCTCTTTTCCTCTCTCTGTCAAGCAAAAACAACAATAAAAACAGCTCGCCCGTCAATGTCTGACGATAACCATACATTCTCAAAGGAGAATATTTCTCCAGCGAAATAGAAGAATTTGAAGAATTAAAGGTTGCCATGACGTGTGGCTTCTGCTGTGGCCGATGAGGCCATCTCTGCAGAGAAAAGTTTGCCACCTTTTGAACATTTCAAGGCTTCACTTCCACTTGTTGTGGGTGTGCGCAGCTTGCAGGCTTCTCTCTTGGTTTCAGCATTTCTTATTCGCGAAGGCTCATATGATTTGCTGTCCGCTATGACTGCTGCTCTACAGCTAAGAATTTATCTTGAAGTATTTAGAGACATTTTCAGGGTGACTTTGAGGCACCTTTTTGGTGCGCCAACCTTAAGCTTCCATCAGGACAATTCATAATAGAACTCTGCCTTTGGGATTCTGAAATCAGGCATTCTTACGACATGTCCATAATATTGTGTCTAGCCGAGCTATTAACTTAAAAAAACCCAATCTGGTAGATACTACTCACCTTTACACTACCATGGGCGTCAAAATCGAGCCTGAATTGCAATAAACCGAAAAAGACAGCAAATTTAGAGTCACTGTTTAACCGATGCACCGGCAGCTCCTCTCAAATGTCCATGTCTAATATTACGGATGAGAAATAGGATGGGACGAAGCTGATCTAGAACTCAGTTCTCGCGCCTACCAAGTCTTTAAATATTTAAAACACTTTTACTAAGTGGTAGTGTCCACTCCAGCCTATGAGTGACTTCCATTTGAAAAGTGCGGGCAGAGAGCTTGCTCTCTGGATTGTTGAGATTAACAGGAAAAACTGCTTGTTATAAACATCCACGAGGGACAGGAATCTGGCTTAAATACTTTACGAGACAATTTTACCGATGCCACATGAACGCTGTCTGCTCATTATCTGAAAGAGCCAAGCAATTGAACCACTCCTGGACGCTAACTTGGGTTTTTCCGAACTTTTGTTGACCCGAGGTAAGGTAAAAACAAGTTCCGTCCCAGAAACAAAAGGATGTAGGAAAATAAAACCCTGGAAAAAAGCTTTTTAAAAGAAGAAAGAAGACAAAACTATTGATTATAAAGTGATTACTCGTTGCGAAACGTTCCTACGCAAACAAAATCGTTTTATTG